GAGAGAGAGGGAAAGTAAGAAAGCAAGTCGCCAGGTCCAAGACTCAAACCATAGTTGGCCATGCGACAGTCCAGTGCCCTTAACCACCACGCCACCAGTATATTAACAAAAACACAACTGACAGATTTTTTTTTTTTTTGAGAGGTTTCGCTATAGGGCGCGTGCACTCGCCAGACAGACAGAGAGACACAGAGACAGAAAGCGAGAAATCACCTCGCAGGGGGAATGGCCACGCCACAATCCTTTCTCCTCCATTCTCCTCTTGGGATCTTGGGCACACACGCACATGTGCCGGGTGTGAGTTTAAGCCACTGGATCTGGGACTCAAACCATGGTTGACTACATGGGAGTCCAGCGACATAGCTATTACGCCAATTGCTGATCCCAAGATTTTGTGATTATTATTAAAAAAAATTTTTAAGACAAAGGCTTGCTATGGTACTCCTCATGCCTCCACCTCCAGCTGGCTCTGTAGGCTTAGGACATCACACCAGTTCCTTCAGACAGGGTCACACTGTGTTTCCCAGGCCACTCTCAACCTCACAGTCCTCCTGCCTCAGTCTCCCTGGCTTTGGGTTGGACCAGAAATTACACCTCGGCCTTCCACGGGGTTTCAGCCTGAAGGGCCCACATCTGGAACAGTGCTTGCCCAGGCCCAAGATGTTTTATGTCACATTCTCACCTAATTACTGCCTTGTTTTCACATTAGGACTTGATTCGAGAATGTAGTTTTACTCCGTAAGTTGTCATAGAGTAATAAGATGAAGGGACCTTGAGAGGTTGAGAGGTCAGGGTTCTAGTCTTTTCTCAAGAGTGAAAGGGCTATTTCGATTTGGTGATTAAATTCGAATTCATTTTGCCTTTTGCAAAAACGTATCCATTTTTCTGTTTCCAAAGATTACTTTAGCTCCCCAGTGTGCAGGGGCCCAGTCTTGGTGGTTTAGCCTGATAGGACCCGGCAGGCAGTGAGTTAGAACCGGGGCTCCCACTCTCAACATCCCGGACAGACGGGGCTGGCTCAGAGGAGGTGGTCACGTGGGCTCCGCTCAGCATTCAAGGCCTTTCGGGATCTGAGTCACACAGATGGGGCCATTCTTCCTCCTGCGCCGTCTTCTCACCCTGGCCCTGAACTGCTGTGCTTCAGTTTAAGATGGTGACCTTGGGGGTGGGAGGAGTGGCCCTCGAGAAACTCAATCCAAGGAGATCGTTTCACCTTCAGGACTGCCACAAATGCCACGGGCGTGGGAGATACAAGTGCGGTGGCTGTCACGGGGCCTGCATGGTGAGTCGTGTGTAGACAGCTGGGAAGGAAGGGATAGCGTGTGGGGCAGGGTGGGCCTGGGGCCCTAGGGCCGGGCTGCGGGTCTGGGACTCCCTGCAACACAGTGTGAGTACAGGCAAATCATCCTCCTTTTCTGGGCCTCTGTTTTCCCACCTTTTACAGGAAATTGAACTGTGTAATTTCCAAAGACTCTTTCATTTAGATAGTTTGATTATTTATGTCCTTACTTCTTTCAAGATAGATTTTATATAGAGAGAGCTACCCCCCCACACACACCCTCAAAGGATCTTCATGTGGGACCAGCAGTTGGCATAATGGCTGTGTCGCTGGACTCCCATGTAGTCAACCACGGTTCAAGTCCCAGAACCGGTGCCTTAAACTCATGCTGGGTGCATGTGCGTGCATGCCCAAGATCCCAAGAGGAGAATGAAGGAGAAGGGACTGCAGTGCTTAGATGGCATGACCAGCCCCCCTGGGGGGGTGATTTCTCGCTTTCTGTCTCTCTGTCTCTCTGTGTCTCTCTGATGCGCACACGCGCCTTATAGCATAAATCTCTCTAAGGAAAAAAAAAAGGATCTTCATGTCACAATACACTCCGATCCCTCAACTGGCCTGGCTCATAGGCACACATGCGTGTTCCCTGCTGGATGTGAACCCAGGACCTTTCCCGTGTGGGTCCAGTTGCATTGCTGCTGAGCTACTGCCTGCTTGAATTTGAACTTTTCTCTTTTTCTCATCTATCTGCCTGTACTCATGGAGTACTGACTTGGCACTGGGCCATCCAGGAGGACGAAGACCAGAGTCCTTCCCACAGGGGACTCCCTGACTTTGGGAGAGACCAATAAGTGAGCCACGTTTAGAGTCCAGGACGATGGGTGCTTTGAGACACGAGGTAGACAGGGGCCTGGTGTTAATTTCCTAGGCTGTTCTTGCGAATGACCACAAGTTGGGTGGCTTTAAACAACAGAAATGGGCGCCAGCAGATAATGTGGAGGTTAAGGCACTGGACTCCCACACGGCCAATTGTGGTTTGAGTCCCACATCTGGCAGCTTGCTTTCTCACTTACTCTCTCTGTGTCTCTCCCTGATCAAATTAAAAAATAATAAGAGTGCTATGTCCACAGGTGAGGTGCCCATCCTGCAGTGGAGCCAAGCGCAAGGCCAAGCAGCCCCGGAGGTGTCAGATGTGCTCGGGGTCTGGCCGGCGGAGGTATGAGGGGTCTGCCCAGCTTGGAGGTAGGGTGTTCTCTCCCGTGGCCTCTCCTGCCTTTCTTTGTCCGTCTGGGAGGCGCAGAGGCACCAATCTGTGTTGTCACTGCCAAGTCCTCAGAGCTCTCTGAATGACATAGAGCAGGTGAGCTTTCCTCGAAGTGTGACATTCCTGGACAAGACGGGAACGCATCAAGCTGTCGACTTCTAAAGAACAGGCAGCGAGAAAGACCGTAGAAGAAAAACGGTGTTCATTTAAGAACAGGTGCTGCAGTCGGTCATTGCATGGTAAACTATGGCCGCACTCAGGGAGATAAAAGAAGTCATGGATTTGCAAAATAAAAATGAAGAGGGATTACAGAAGTGGTTTGGGACCGTTTCCCTCAAACGTCACCCTTTTAGAAAGGAACCCCCAAATTCTCTCTGGCTACCAGGACCAGTCACAAGGGTGCATCAGTCCAAGCCTGGGCAGGCATTTCCAGCAGTCCAAGTCCGGGCAGATGATCTGGCAGTGGTAGTGCTTGCTCAGGTTGTGGTGGTCTCTCTACAAGGCTGCGGTCCCGGCAGAGCCCTGGGGACAGCTCTCCTTATCAGGCAAGTTTGTGTGGGAGCCACCCCATCCATCCACAGCCTCCCCTGACTCAGTGTAGTCACAGCGTGGCACAAGTTAGTACACATGATTCCTTTTTGATTCTGACAAACTTGCACAAAGGAATGTATGGATCAGTGGGAGAAAAGAAGCTCTGCGGGAGGGGAGAAGGGAATTCGAGGAGAGGAGACCTCTCCTTGGTAGGGAAGTGAGTCAAAAACCACCTCGAGGTGAGATTCTCAACTCTCTGAGAACAGGGGCCTGGGTAAACCCCTATTTTTAATTTTAAGGGGGATGGGAGTAGAGGAAGAGACAAGGGAAACTGACTGACTAAATAATCAACATTTCACCTCTGCCGAAAGTGCTTTGCAAATAGTGGACCATTGTATTTTGTAAATTACATGTTGTAGTATATTTATAAATCTTTAAAGGGAGACAGGAAACCATAAGGAGTGAAAATATTCAAAGTTAGGTTGGTTAGGGATACTTCTGGCTCATTAAGACCCAGGCCATCTTTTTATTTATTTATTTATTTATTTATTTATTTATTTATTTTTGCTATAGGGCACGTGTGCTCGCCAGACAGACAGAGAGAGAAAGAGAGACAGAAAGTGAGAAATCACCCCCCCCAGGGGGGATGGCCATGCCACAATCCCTTCTCCTCCATTCTCCTCTCGGGATCTTGGGCACGCATGCACACGCGCCCGGCATGAGTTTAAGCCACCGGGTCCGGGACTCGAACCGCAATCGAATACGTGGGAGTCCAGCGACATAGCCATCACGCTAACTGCTGGTCCCCCAGGCCATCTTTTGACAAGCCAGAGGGTGAGGCTTTGGTGTACTTTCACCATGGTTGGTGAATATGGTAGTCTTTGGTTTAGAAAGAAATTCAAGTTTCTTTCATTTGCATGTAAAATAAATCTGATTCAAACTGGCTTTGGCAGAAAAACAAAGCTGTAGGTCCCGGTAACAGTAAAAGCCATGAGTACAGTTCCATGATACCCTCAGGCTCAGCTGGATCCAGGGGTTTAAACAGTGTCACAAGGGATCTATCCACTCCTCACTCTGCTTTCCTTTATGTTGGCTTCATTCTTATGCAGTCTGCCCTTGTAGTGGCAGAGGGGGCCACCAGCATCTGCAGATCTAGTAACCCCCGTGGAAAAGGGTGCCTCTTTCTTGGTAGCTCCAACAAGAATCCCAGGGTGGTTCTCTTTACACTCGCTTGAGCCACAAATTCATTTTTGTACGTGGCCAGGGAGATGGAATAGGATGACTGACCAGGTTGAGGTCCCAAGCTGGTTGCAGAGGGCTGAGAACAAGCCCAAGAACCATGTGGACCGGGAGGGGCAAGGGTGGTCCCCAAGAGGATGTTGGGATTCTGCCACCAGAGGGGGGAGGATGCTATGGCAAGCGACATGCCCACCACAGTCACTGCAAAGGGAAGGGTCTGGGATGGGGTCTCCTGAAGCCACCAGGACCCTGAGACTGACCTGAGTGGTACTGACCATGGCCCTCTCAGGTGCAGCACGTGCTCAGGGAGCGGAAACAAGACCTGTACCACCTGCAGAGGGGAGAAGAAACTGCTGCACTTCATCCAGCTGGTTATCATGTGGTATGCACTGGGTCTCATTGGAGGTGGTGGGGCACATGGCCGGGACTGGTTTCTACAGAGAAACTGGACTGGGGCTTTCATAGGATGGGACCTGCCAGTATTCAGAAGGGAGGGAGTTCTCAGTGTGGGCGACAGGTGATAGGAGGCTGACAGGTTTAGAATATAAAACCCCTCCTTATCCACTGTTTCATGGTCAGTAGTTTCAGCTAACTGGTCAACCACAGTCCTGGAATAGGCGAGCATAGGACAATAAGATACTGAGAGAGACCTTTATTACAGTACATGGTTATAACCGCTCTATTTTATTGACTTATTGTCATTAATCCCATACTGTATCTAGTTCATGCATTAAGCTTTATCATAGGCATGTATGGAGAGGTAGGAAAAAGCATAGTATATAGGGAATCCGTATTACCTGTGGTTTCCGGGGGATTGTGGAATATATCTCCCACAAATAAGAAGCTACTATTGTAGACAGACCTGAGTTCAAATTCTGATATTGTCACATTCTTTTAAAAATATTTTATTATTATTATTATTTAGTTTTCTAGAGGGCACATGTGCTTGTGTGAGAGAGAGAGAGAGAGAGAGCAAGCCAGGTGGTCTGGGATTCGAACCATGGTTGGCCATGTGAGAGGCCAGTGTCTTAGCCACCACACCACCTGCTAGGCTCCTGATATCACCACCTTCTAGAGCGGCAACCACTCAACAGCTGAGCCCTCCCATGGAAAGACAGTCTCTGTGCCCTACATTCCTGAGTCTGCAGCGGTTCCCATGCACGAAGGGCTTCTCCTGTGCCAGGCGCCTCACTAAGCACTTAGCAGGAGAAGGTGAGATGAGGTCACAGACCTGATGACTCTCCGTATCTTTTACCAGTTTCCCATTTTACAGAGAGGCTAGGGACTCCTCCAGGGTCCTACCAAGCCCAGATCAGTCGGAATCCAAAGCCAAAGTTCTTATTTTTTTAAAGAGAGATTTTTGCTATAGGGCATGTGCTCTTGCCAGGGAGACAGAAAGACAGACAAAAAGCAAGAAATAGCCCCCCCCCTCCCCTTTCAGGGGATGACCGTGCCACAATCCCTTCTCCTCCATTCTCCTCTCAAGATTTTGGGCACACGTGCATATGTGGCTAGCATGTTTTAGGCTGCCAGGTCTGTGGTTAATTATGTGGGAGTCCAGTGACGTAACCATTACACCATCTACTGGTCCCCCAAAACCCATGTTTTTGTTTTTGTTTGAGAGACATTTTTGCTATGGGGCATGTGTGCTTGCCGGAGAGACAGAGAGAGACAGAGAGACAGAAGGTGAGAAATCACACACACACACACACACCCCCAGGGGGAATGGTCGTGCAGCCATCCCTTCTCTTCCATTCTCCTCAGGATCTTGGGCACACAGACATGTTTGCCCAGTGTGAATTTTAAGCCGCTGGGTCCAGGACTTGAATCATGGCCGACTACATGGGAGTCCGGCAATGTAACCATTATGCCATCTGCTGGCCCCAAGCCTTTGTTCTTAATGTAATCCTCTTAGTCCCTGGTCCTTTGTTCTAGGAAGAACAGCCTGTTTGAGTTTGTGTCTGAGCACCGCTTCAACTGCCCCAGGGAGCTCCTTGCTAAAGCCAGGGGAGAGAACCTCTTCAAGGATGAAAACTCGGTGGTAAGGAGGGCTTTGCAGATGGGACCAGGGAGATCTGGCTTCCTCCTCTGCCCCTGCGGGGCTGCATTACCTTGGAGGGACAGGCTGGTGGGAGGGTGGAAGGAGCAGCCAGGCAGGACCAAGTTCCACACACTCAACCTCTGCCCCTCCTTCCCTCCTCCTCTCTCT